AAATCTAACAAATATCAGAGAGGAATGTAGAGTGACCATAAAAGTAGCATGGGAAGTTAGCAGGCAGTGACAAGCCAAAATAAACTTAAACTGTGTCCAGCTTACTGTGCCCAGTTCCACCCATAACTACAAACTACACTCTCATTTTAAGTGATTATCACTGTTTATTTTTACTCATCTTTGGAAAAAAGGTTTTATTAATAAATAAATGTACAAGACAAGTTTTTGACTCTCAGGCTGTTTGAATATGTCTGTATTTTTCCTGTGTGCATGCATCCATGTGTGACAAAAAGAAAGACAGTGAGAGAGCCCATTCACACCTTGTGTTAAAATAAGAGTGGCAGGGTGTAAACACACACAGACTCCATCTCACAGGTGTTAATGCACACAGTAAGTGTGGGGTCTAGATTATCACTGCAGGTAAAAACCTCATCACTTTGAGTGTAAAAATCCATCGCATCTCATCATTACAAGCAGCAACATCATCACAGCAGGTAGAGATATCACCACTATGTGCAGACTCGACATTTGTATCATTATCAAGGGTTAGAAACCTAGTTTATTAGTAGTTTATTATAAAGGACATTTAAACAGTGAAAGTATATGTATTTAATTGTATGATTATTAATTTAAATAAATTCAATGATTATTCAATTATTAATTTTCATCTTATCTTATTTTATCTTATACAAATGATCCATTCATTCATGATTTTATCAATAACAAACATTGTCATTGTAAATTCTGACATTTCAGATGATGTTTTTGTGAAATGATAGCCGACATCCAGCTTGTAAGTAAAGTTCAACCGAGCCACTGGACTGCATAATATTAGGAGTTGTTTCCCCAAAACATGAGGGGAGAAGAATATTAATAATATATTCATATAGTAATATTAATAATAATATCTATGTAAAGGTAGAATTTATAAGTGCTTGTATTGGATTGCATTAGATTTTATAGGTGTAGTGGCCACTGAGTGTATGTGAACTTTATTTTGGGATATTTTGTTTTTGTACAACTAACCAAATTCTTGTTGACAATGAAATAAAATCAACTGCCGTAACTGCACATGTACAACTCTACATGATCTTACACAATTTAATGCAACTTTAGTCATAGTGGTGCTACAGCAACATGATTAATTCAAATGTATGTAACTAAGTGGCGCCGAGTCTGACTCACTTGGCACAGTTCAAACGTCTATAAAGTCCTACTAATCTCAAGATTTAGGTATTCTTTAGGTATTCTAAGAAAATCTGTCTCATTCTTTCACTAAGTGCATTTTAATGCAGCTCATGAGCATATTGTTAAGATGCCTCTACCTTCTGTCCAAACCCTATCATCTAATTTCAGGTTTTTAATCCTCCACTTGGTTGGATGTCTGTGCCTGTGTATAGTAAGATTATGTAACAACATCTGGTAGCTACAGACACGCATAAATACACACACACTACCACACAGTAACACGGTATGCAGCATCAGCCTCATCAATATGTTGATCCTCAGTACATGACAAAGCCTGTGGAGCCAGACACAAACACACACACACACATACTGTGTTCTGTACTATACATCCACTGTCACTAAATAAATAACACACACTTTTCACTTTGCCATGTTACAGTAAAGCCTCATATTAAGTAACACACTGAGATCAGATCTCCATAGATGCAGACACACTCATTCACTAATGTAGATCAGTTTAGGGGTTTCTGTTCAAAAGCAGCGACACAAAAAGAGAAAAAGAAACACATACAAAGAACAAAAATCCACAGAGAGAGAAAGACCAACTCAGATGTTTGTCTCTGAAGGAATTATGAGACTCATCTCCATAAACCACTCAAAAGTCCATCACCAAATAACCTTCGATGTGTCCTCTCCGCCCCCTGCCTCTGATCTATTGGTCATAACTCTCTTGAGACTAATTACGTGTGTGCTTGTCCTCCCTTCCTCATCTCTTCTCTTTCCTTCCCTTTTCTTCTTCTCTCTGTGCTTTCTTTCTTATCTTTGGCTTTCTGTGCCAAATTCTAAACCTCTTCTCTTATTAATTCATCTTTTTTCATCCTCTCACTTTTACACACATCCAACAGTTGATTTGTTTCAGCCTTTGAACAGTAAATGTCAAATCATTGAGTGCTTGAAAATGTCACAAACGGCTGTGTAAGAAAATCAGGTCAGCAAACACCAATGACCTAACCTAAAAAAATCCTTTCTCCCCTCCTTTTGGCAGTAGACATGTTACCTTAAAACCTGTCCCTAGTATGTATGAAAAGCGTCAAGGCAACACTTCATCTATGTGTGTGTGCACAGTGTGTGTATGTAGGTTGGCCTGAATGCCTTGACATTTCATTGAATAGCAGCGGCTAGTTGCCATGACAACACTGACTGAAATGAACACAATGCACGTGTGTGAGCGCGCGCGTGTGTGTGTGTGTGGTGTGTGTGTGGTGTGTGTGTGTGTGTGTGTGTGTGTGTGTGTCAATGTTGTTGGGGTCTTAATTGACTGGACTGGAAACAGCGGCTTGCTCTATTCATCCTCCAGCCAAAATAAAAAAATTGAAATGTGTAATTGAATTTGGACATGGAAGGCAGAGCCAGACACACAACACAATCTCCTGCAGACAATACAAACACAGGTGTATGAATTAATACACACACACAAACATGCACTGAAAGAGTCACGCATGTTGTGCTGTAAAATGACAAATAATGTAGGACACTTTTTATAGCCACAACAGATCTACAAAAGTAAGTTCAGGGCATTTTGTTTAACAGCCAGCTGGCTCGCTTGGTATCAGTTTATGTTCTGCCACTGTTAACATTTACTGGATCACTGAAGCTTTAAAAACTCAGCCTGAACTGGAAATATTAGCTTTAACCAGATGACACACATATAGTGTGTTTATAATAAAGTGTAATCACTCATGTTTTCAGATTGCGATTGAGCATTTGTCCACTATCATACTTCTGTGCCTGAGCTGGAGATATTGTATGCACATCAAATAACCAGAATCCTTAAAGGAGTTCATGCACTCTGGAACGACACATATAAGCACTTAGTGATATGGAATTATTGACAAAATGAATCAAATTTAAAACTATTTTTCTAAATTTACACCGCAAGAGTTTTTGGTTCGGGTTTAGGCAACAAAATGAAAATAACTACATGGTTTCAGGTTAAGGGTGACCTTGTGGTCACGGTTTAAAAGCCTAGCCTGGCTCTTTTCCAAGGATGACAAAATTAACGTATAGCATCCCTAAAGTTCACTAATTAACATGTTATTTCTCGTTTGATAAATTTGTACAAAAACCAGAGTGTAAAAAAGAGATGTTGTGGTTTTACAGGGTATGGCCTTTTTTATAGTCTTTATGCTAAGCTAGGCTAACATTCTGCTAGCTGTAGCTTCATGTTTACCATACATGATAGTGATATAAATCTTCTCCTCTCACTCTCGGCAAGAAAGCAAATAAGATTCATGAAATGTCAAACTATTCCTTTAAAAGAAACCAACTGTTCCGAGGAGACCATGATGTGAATTCTGTTCCCTGGTGTCAAACTGAGACACTCTGTGACGGGTATAAACCACTCATACAAGATAATGAGCATTTTCTGATCTGCCACCTCTGATTCAGATTTGGTTCAATAGTTTAACATTTTGGTACATCCACTCATTTACTTTCTTGCTGAGAGTTAGATGAGAAGATCGATACCATTCTCATGAAGAGTGGCATCGATCTGCCGGAGCTAGAGCCAGGAGGTAATTACATTAACTTGTAAAGACTGGAAACTGAGGGAAACAGCAAGCCTGCCTCTGTCCAAAGTTAAACATTTGTTTTCTACCTGTTGATTGTCAAGGAATAGCTGGTGGAGAATATTTCCCCTGTTTCCAGCCTTAATGCTAAGCTAGCTCTAGCTCCATTCCTAAAATATAAGGTATTGATATTCTCACCTAACTCTTGAAAAGAAAAGCAAATATCCCAAAATGTTTAGTAATTCTAAACAACTAAAAGTATTTATGGTTTGAAAAGATTGTGGTTGTGATTACTATGGGAACAGCAGGAGACAAAAGGTATGGAAATAACTATTTCTGGGGTCATATTCATTTCACATATTCTCCTCCAAACAACAAGAACAACAACAGGTCCATATATCTAAAACGTATAATTAACAAACAGGGTGATTTTTACCTAAGTGAGGCTCAGATGTTAGAAAGTGTGTATTGTGTATTTCTACACCAGAGATTGTATATAAAGAGTCTATGTTCTCTACACCAGGAGCTCTACAGCAAGTTGGAGGATTCAATCTGACAACCCCCTTCTCTCTGGTCCACTAGTTTTAACTTTACATTAATCCTGTCTGACATTAAGTTGCAATAACCTTAGATTGTCCCTGAAATCTAATGAAGACCAAGTAAAAGTCTATTTTTGAGTGCCACATACACTGTTAGTCAGTGCAGTGTAAACTAATTAAAGAGCTGTCGGCTTATAATTAATTACACGCACTTTTTGTGAAGGAAACTAAAGCTCACCGCTCTGGTTGTGTTATGATCTTTGCCATAAGAGGATAGGAAAGCGCAAGGCTTTGGCACAGAGAACTAAAGTGAACATATGATTTAGCCCTCAGCGTGAGTGTGTGGGTGGCTGAGGTCACGTGTGTGTGTGTGCGAGGGTCTGTGTGTG